ATTAATATTTGAGTCATGATTATTTATTATTATTACTATTTTCAGTTGAAAATTTACTCACAAACCCTTTTTATAAGTCTGGCGCCCTCACAGTTTTAAGTGGCAGAGACCTTCAGAAGCCTCTTTCTGAGTTCACCAGACCTATGAAAAGCGCCTATATATAAATCTAAAGATAAACTTTTAATTTACACAAAGACATAATTTTGTACAATTAATTATTTATTCAATAACTATCATGAACTGTTTGTGCATTTACACTAAGACATACCATGTAAGGATCAGCTGACAAGTACAGTGTTTTTACCAATATCTGACCGTCCTCTAGTTCTGGATATGAACAGTCTCGTAATGCAAAGTTGTCTTCAGATGGTGCATTATTCTCACCTGCATGAGAAGATACTTTTATGGGAATATAAAACAATGCAATTAAAATAAGAGAATCAATTGATCTATGCATATCAACATCATTGTCGTACAACCATGTGCTAATATGTCCTGTAGATCATTAAGAAATTCTAGATCATAAAAAACAAAAAAACCACATAGAGGAAAAATAGAGGTGAACTCAGATTACAACAGCGTGTAGTCAAGCGCAGTACTACATAAGAGCATTACAATGTTGCGTTTTGTAAATTTCTTTGTTTCTAACCAAGCTCCAAGATTCTCACAGTATAGAAGACAGTCGATATAACCAAATAAGGAATGACTGTGGAAATATCCCGTGTCCAACTTCACTGGATTGATAATTGAGTGTGCTTTTATCTTTCAAGTTTTGTCTCATGTTTTGTCAAAAAAAACTTGAACAAGTTGAATTTCCTGTATCCCACACAAAATCACTTTGTAAATTAAAATATTAATGTATTAAAGCGGATGAGTTGTCACCTGCGCATGTGTCAGATGGCCATAGCGTGTCATTGTTTACAAACAAGCGCCTACCCATGAGCCTTTGGGTTTTTAGCGTGTGTTGTTATCGTTGCTTGGGACTTGTGCACAGGTGACGACCCTCCCGCTTTAAACTTAGTCTTAATTTTGAATTATCTTTTAATTTATTTACTTATTAAATAAATATTACAAGTATATTTGTCCAAGCATATGCTTATCTATAAATTTAAAACCCAACGAATATGACCAAAGTAACAATTTTGAGTAACAGGATCACAGACTTATTCAGTACTACTGGACTATTTCTTTTTCTATTTTATCATTTCCCGATAACTATGATACTGTCATTTTGAATTGTATCTATTAACTAGTTTATGTATTTGTGAAATAAAACATTCAGTATTCAGAAACAGATTACGTTGCGTGTTCAATGTGGCATCTTCAATGTGGGTAATTATTATGATGAATGATATAGATCATGACACTTGTTTATGTTTTAATCATATGTGCAATGGCTGGTCGGCAAGACCCAATCATTCATACCCGAAATTAAAATAATGGCATCACAATGGTGACATCACTTGCACTGCAACATAAAGACCGATGACATCAATTGCATCAACTGTAAAATCCACTAAATTGAATCTTAGGTAAATATGTACGGTAAATTTGCTAGTCGCTGGTAGCATAGTAGATGTCGCATGAGGCTCATGAACGATAGACCCAAGTTCATTTCCTACCTTAGGCTGAACATCAAAAGGGTCGACCCCTACACTGGGTGAGTGTGCCACAGATCAATGGGAAGACCAATTCTACTGGCCGAGATTCATTCACTAATGAATGCAACTTTGGGAAAACCTTGGTTAAGGTCCGCAGGTGCTTGCGTTCAACCGAGACTGGTTGACGCCAGGATAGCGCATTAAAATTGCCATTTGATAGAGAGATGGCCACACAGCCTTGTCATGTAGTCCCAAACATGAATATGACTAATGTGTCAGCACAAGCACTTGCAATTTGCACATACAAAAAAGTCAGGAGAGACAACATGAACACTCAATGTCCAGGCCTGTCGCCTGGCACAAAAAACATTTAAAAAAAAAAAATATGTAAATTCACTGAAAGATCTATGAATTTAAAACCCAACCAAATATTTGGTTAGATACAGTTAAAGGTAATTTGGTGCTTTCTCTTACATTTGACTTATACATTATATAGTGAAGACTACAAGATATGTTACAGTGAAAAACCACTGAGATTTTGTTTTAAATGTTCTTCTTGTTGTAAGATTAGACAACTGATTACCGACTTTGCTTCAAAACATTGTTGAGTACCGACAGACTTTATCTACAGCCTAGACATATTTACACACACATACAAATAATGTAAATATATCTAGACTGTGGACAAATATCTGCAGGTAGTCAACAATAATTTGAAACAAAGTAGCTATATTATCGGTATATTTTATTTTAAGCACATCACAGGAATTGTGTTAACTCAATATTTTGCTTCCAGGGCTCCAATTATTGACCCAGTATTTCAGGCAAGTTGGGGTCCAATCTCTAGTAAAGTTATCCAGGGTCAAATTTAAATTTTTTTAAATTTGGTAAATGGGACTCGTCTTGCCGAGACACTAGTGCAAACCCTGCATTACATATCAATCGTTATTTACTTACTGAGCAATGGGTGTAATTTATTTTAAATGAGTAGTACATAAGTTGTAACAGTTTTGAATTAACATTATTTTCTTAATATATTTTTAATGTTGTATGTTGATGTTTATATGTTAAATAACAATACAACTGAAACCAATATGCTTGTGTACACGCTGTTAGAAGGCAAAGCATATACAAGGTATAATATATTGATGCATGCAATGTTTGATGTAAATACTCTCAGCGCAACAAAGGTATTTCCTTCACCCTTAAAAATATTTATAAATTTCGCAATTCAAATTGACACAGGGGGTACTATTGGTTGAATAATATTGGAATGTTTTCGATCACCCTCATTGTGCTCGTTGATTGGCAAGTTTGATTCAACTGAACTTTATAAATATTTATAAAGACGAAGGAATACTTTTGTTGCACCAAGAGTATTAGTATTGTCAATGCAAGTTGGCACAGAACATTTCAATTGTAAAACAGATTCATTTTCTGATTGGGAAGATTGTCAAAATTGGTAACTGACCACTTTAATGATGCTATTCCTACCTGAATCATTGTGATGTTTTTCTAGTTTCATTTTTATAAAAGCTTTACGAATATTTTGTTTTATGTAAAAAAAATGTTCACGCCTTTATGAAATTGATTGTAAACACACGAGTGACAAAAAAAAGGCAAAACAAAAATCGAGCAAAACAAACAAAACTTACTGGGATGGTCATTTTCTTGATTGTCGGTTAAATTCACAGTCAAATCAGGGTTAAGTCGAACACAATCTGTGTATGGAGAGTCAATTGTTGATAACATGCAACATAAAAAAAAAACAAGCATACATGCAAACAAGCGGTGTAATGTGTACTCAAAGTAGTGCTGTTCTGCGGTTAGCCGAGGGTCAGCTAGTAAAATATATATTAAATAAATAAATTAATAACAAAGTGAGATCAAGATAACGTAATTGGGGCGTGAGTTAAAAAGCTGACCGTAGCTGCCGGTCCGGGTACGTTACCGGGGTAGGTACTCAAATCTGACACGAAAAACGACTTTCGACTTGACTTTTAGTTTAGTGCATGAACATTGTCGGATTGAAACTCGGATTTAATACTTACCTGGCCTTGACCGTAGTATTATTTTTTGGTTCGCAGCAGTCATTTTAGACGACCAGACATCCTAAAGAACGCGGGAAGACATTACTCTTTCTCTAAATTTAAAATAAGATTGTAAAATCTACGTTTGATTGCCCCTCGCCGCCATCATGTTTACTCCGCAAATGCTCCGGAAGTGTATGTGAGGAATGGCAGAGAGGGCGCTGTAACTACGGCTTTCACTTTTACCATAGACCTTAGAAAACAGGGACATGCAACTTCTGTCTAAGACAAAAGAAAATCCAGTTTCCTGTGTGCAACGTGGGTTATAATCCCCTGTATGGATAATCCCATTAATACATATACCTATACATCTGAAACAGTTTTAGTTCTTACCTTTCTACGCTTTTTTATATGTTTGACAAGTTATGCTGTGCCAATATTCACATTTGTCAGTGTATAACGGGTGCACTATGCTATATCTGTTCTAAATATGATGAAAAATCCACTTGTTATAATGACACCCCCCCCCCGCTTTAAGTAAACCTAATATCAATGTCAATTATGAAGAATATTGTATCAATATTTGAACCGGACATATACATTAGACGAAATCAACTCCTTACAGAGGCATCACATTACTCCCTATTATCGTCTAGATTTGTTGTTTCCATTATTTATTTAAGCATTCGTCATATTTTACTTGAAAACATTTTGTGTTTTCATTTTGAACCGTTTCAATGCAGTGTATAGTTTTAAATGGCCATTAATACAATTTTAAATGTTAATTATAACACCTATAACCAGGCGAACTTGGCAGATTTTCGATGCGAACTTTTGGGTTGCCTCGTATTATTAAAAGAAAATTTGTTGTAATTACCAATTTGAAACGACCAACAAAGGTTACAGGTTCTAGACATGTGATGTAAAAAAGCTGTTGTTTATTTGTTCAACTGCGAAACAAAGGTCAAAGGTCATGCAATCGTTTTCCGAGCTTGACAATTATCATCTCCATAAAAATAATCCGGTTTTACAAAAAATAGCTGTGCTTCATTCATAAAGATTTTCTTCGTAAGTACCCCATGCAGATGTTGTGTTTCTAGTCATGGATTGAGCATCGAGAAGTTTCGGGCGTACAGTATATATTCTATGGTTTCAAATAAAGAGACAATATTATTTCCGATGTTGTCTAAGAATACATGTTCCTTATTTTGTTGTTGTGTACTGTTTTGTTGCATATAAGGACAACCACAAACAAATATTATTATATAAGAACCGCAATTTATTCTTTCTAGTGTTTAGAATATCAGTAAAACGATACGAAATATCGTTCAGAATTGGGATATTGCAAATAATCAGTTTTATCTGTTACATAAAGTTCTTTGTCCATAAATTATGCACACAACAGGGGAAGAGGGTCTATGTGACAGAATTATCAATACTACGCATATCACAGAATTCATCCTTTACCCATTTGAGACTCTCCAGTGCGGTTAAAGCGCCCTCACCGACGAACTCTGATACAACACCATGCAGTTTGATCACTCAAATTTGTATGATTCAGCCTGTCTGCATCGACCTGACTTATAATAGAACACCCGTATATCTTCACCTAGCCAAGCATGGCATATCCTATAATTTATGTTGGATGTGCCCGGGGCTATTAGCGCCTTTTTGACAGCATATCTTACCATCGCGTCGAGGTGCGGAAGTAAACAGTTTTTTTCCCATAAATGGACAATGTTAAGCAATGTAAAATTATGTGATAACTCGTGATAGACGACTGGTAGGTTTTGCAGGAGTGATACATTTTGTGAAGTTAACTTGTTAGAAGATGCCGCTTTTCTTCCACCCCGCTTTCATTTGATGGCTATATGACGGATAATTGGATGAGACGTGGGACACCGCTCATTGTCGCTGCAGAATGGAATGTGTTTGTTGACATGCATTTTTATCTCCCTTTATTTTCTGATAAAAATACAGCTAGTAAGCATTGAGTTACCGTTGAATACCTGATATGCTCCTGAGTAATTCCGCATCAATGATGATAACGATAATTAATTTTTACCTTTGTAATTATATTATATTAATTATACTAATTGGAATATCATTTTATTAAACTATGTTAATGGAGCGCCAATCCATGCAACGTTATTACAATGAGTGGATACAATTATGTCGTGTTTCACTGTCAATAACAATTGGGCAGTATAATTGTTCAATATCCATTTTTTCCCACCGTAATCTCGTGACCACATGTGACACAGCGTCAGATGTCAACGGAGAAACATCTGATGCCGTTGGTTGCTTGGAATGTTGACCAGATTCTAAGACAACCACCAAAAATAGAAAAGGTCGCCAATGAACAATATTTGCCATGAATTAGCATAACAATATTTTTTTCCACCTAATTTGGTAATTTATAGACGAATAAGATGTAGTTGCCAAGGAATCACAATCACACATCTTTGTCCCGTAATTCCAAGATGGCACGCCGTAAATCAAGTTTTGATTGGGATATATCTAATTGAGTCTATCACTAGGTTTTCATAGTAAACGGAAACCATTTCATCAATTATATTTCAAATCGGACAATTTGGTCATGCTGAACATTCCAGATTTCTACTAAGGCCGTTTAAACGACTGATAGAATATGGCCATAGAGGTGAAATTAATGTTGATTTCAGCAGCCAAAGCGGTGGTCCTAATCACTTTATTTGATCACCAATATCCAGATTACTGTAATTACTGTCACTTTCTGAATCTGAAGATATTTCACAAACGTCCGTATTAAAGCGGGAGGGCCGTCACCTGCGCACGCACAGGAATTGAGTCCCAAGCGACGACAACAACACACGCTAAAATCGCAAAGGCTCATGGGCAGATGCTTGTTTGTAAACAATGACACGCTATGGCCATCTGATGCATGCGCAGATTACGACTCCCCCGCTTTAAGCTTTCTCAATGTAAATGTATTCATAACTTTTTGTCTAATTTGTTTCTTATTTGTGTCTAAGAATGAAAAAAACATGTATGTCTTACATAGCTCTGGATTATGAGGCATGCCCTGCTGATGTCTTTTCCTGGAGTAAACAAACTGCTGCTTCTTTGCTGGTTCTTTTCGAGTTTTAACGTGGTCCACTAATCCACTATCTCTTGGTCTGCGTCATATTTATCTTATTAGAAAAAAGTTTATGTTGAATGTTGAAACTTTTTTCCCAACCTCTGTTTTTGACGGATACTCGATATTCGGCTGAAGACACTGGTACCATAATATAACCTGTAGGTTACGTTGCTTGATGCTTATATGAGCTTCTTTTATCTGAAAAGCTGCTTGAACTTGATTTTACTTTTTGCTTGTTGTACATTCAGATTCTAGTATGCACATCAGTTCCTGGGTACATACAAGTTTGCAAGACACGATTAGTGGCATCTACCATGTCTTTAAAAGAGCTGATGGATCTGCCAAGATTTGAAAGAAGATGAAAGGTGATAGGGGGAATCTTTGACATACATACTCCATCTCCAATGTCAGTGGACAGTTTGTTCACACTGACATACCTATCATCAATTTTTATCAACCAATCCTGTTCTGATTTACACACTGAGTAAGCATAGCTGTGTAGCACAAGACTCTGATAAGCATTCAACCAGAAATCACGTAGGACAAACCTTGTGT